CAAGTGGCTTGTAACAGGAATAGTAGGGCCTTTTGCAAGTACTGAGTGCCTAGTGTGGTCCTGAAAGGCAACAAGGAGGATGGACTCTGCAGGCCAAAAGTGGGGACTGCTACTGCGGAACCCAGGACACAAGCTAGCTGAGAAAGCTTCTCTTTTACCATCTCTAGCTCAGACTTGGGAGTAGGCAGTAAGGAGAGCATGGAAGGGTGGGTAAGGACCAGCCCAGTGTGCAGCTACCGGATGGCCAGCCCATGGTGAGATTTTAGCCTAGCTTGCTTGTGCAATGGTCCTTTTGTGGAGAAGACCCACAAGTGTCTGCTCAGCATTGCTAGTCAGGAGTGCCATCAGGTCTCAAGCCTCCTCCGCAGTTATCAGGGTGTATGTGACTCCCCTTGCTCCCCGCTCTGCTGTCTCTCAGCGTTTCAGAACATCAGCTGAGTATAGTCTCTTCAGTGCTGTACTAGTGTTGATGGAGCCCTGTAAACTCATGCAAAAATTAATTCTCTCTTGCTTCTTGTTTATGTTGGGTGGAGCTGCTTGGAGTCATATTTGGGTTTGCATCCTTGAAACAAACAAATGTTGGCAGTAAATACAGGCTTATTCTAGGCTGTGAGCCATTTAGTGGTCTAACAAAGAGCCATCCATCATCCCAGGTAACTATCTATTAAGCAGACACCAGCAAGACATGGAGGGCTAAGCTGACAGGATTTTTTTTTCATGTAACAAACAGCACTGACATTTAAAGGTGAAATCCCACATAATTGTGAATTTTTAACTCCAAGTGGAGAGTTCTCTTTTTCTATTTTATAATATTTTGGAAGTGTTGGAAGAAGGAGGGGGAAATTTCCCTCCTTTTTTATTTTAAACGTTAATGCTTTTATCCCATTTTGTTGATTCTTAACAATTTTAAGGAGCAGTGCCACTCACGTTGGTAATTATATCTGCTAAGGAGACCTGTTGTTGAGCTCGCCATGTTCTTCACAGATCTGTGGAAGGCTGTGCTGAAAGAGCAGAGGGAGGTTTCTTTGAATGCGCGTTTTTTGCTCCACTTCTCAAATCAACAGAGCCGAACAACTGTGGGAATTGTCTTTTCTTGTTTGTTTGTTTTATGTTCTTCATAAAACGTGCTGCCCTGCGGATGAGGGACTCGCCAAAAAGGAGTGCAGTTTGCCTTCCTTGACCCCCATCTTCAGATGGAAGAAGATGAGTGTCTAATTGGCATGGGTGGGCGAGTCGGCCTCTTTGCAGTCATGTGTCCCCCGCTCTTCCTGTACAGTAGCGCATGGTGTGAGAAGGGGCAACGGGATAGAAAAGAGCTGATGAATTACAGAGAAGATGCAGGGAGGCAGCTTGAAGCAAGAGGCAGCAAGTGCCATCAGCACAAATTGCCGTTACCCTTCATAAACAGAGCATTATGGTGATAATCCTGACAATTTAATTCAGTGCAAGGGCGAAAGACAGCATGTGTTGGACTGTTACTGATCCTGTTAAGCACTGGTAATTTTTGTTTCTTTACCCGAAGTCCTCGTAGCTTTTGACTCAGACTGCACAAGTTCCTGGAGTTTGCATTTTTTTCTTCTTTGCTTAATTTTTTAATCTTTGGGGTTTGTGAATTTCTTTTTTAATTTGTTTTTTTCTTTTTTTAAACAAAATTCCTGCTGGGTTTATTGAAATGTAAATACTTCATAAAATATGTATTTCTGAGAAGACAAAGCATGAGATGGGTCCCCACAGCTTTCAGCTGGTGTAAATGAGACATGCCGTGCTGCTTTGCAGTAGATGAGGATCTGACCCAGAGTTTTTCTTAAGCCCCTCCACCCACCCCAGCATGCATGGGAGTAAGTCCAGAAATGTTGAGAGTCGGAAGTAATGAGAGAAGACGTGGCTTTGTTCCTGGATGAAAATCCACTTCGGAATCAGGGATGACTGCCTTTGAAATTGGAAATCGCTCGCAATTAATTTTCACCGGTACCTGAAGCCTCTCCTTGGCTTCCACTGTGGAAAAGCAGCATTAGCCTTTGCCAAAACGATCTCACTTTGGCTCTGCTGAGATCAGTAATTCCCGATGGGGCTCAAGAAAGCTGCATGCATCTCTCTGCAACTTTCCTTTCAGTCTTGTGTGGCTTGAAGTTGTGGTTCCTCTGCCTAACTGTAGCTGCGTGCGTGCACATGCACACTCATGTTTACATTTCCTCTTTCTTTCTTTCTTCTCTATTTTAAAGGTTAGACTCCAAAATGTTCTGTCTCAGCTCTCAGCGTAACTAACAGATTTTCCTTCAAAGGAAAGAGGCGAGAAGCAGAAGAAAGTCAGCGAGGTTCACTTCGTTTTTTGTTCCCTTATGTCTCTTTTACCTCCTTCAACTGCAATCTAGCAGCGCCTGCCTCGACAGCTATCAGATAATTTCTTTATCTCCTAACGGCGGCCTAACTAATTTATAAAGGGAAGCGCCTCGCCGTGAAGGCACGAGTCATTTCTCTCCCTTCTGGAGGGCTGTGCTCGCCCCCCTCGCGCGGCGCTCCCCGCTGTGAACCCGGCTCACAGAGCTGTTAGGCTGCGAGCTGGCGGCGCGCCAGGCGAGGGGAGGATCGGAGAGGGGGTGACATCCCACACAAATCAATGTCAAAGGTTTGACGTTTTCATTCATGGCGGTGTCAAAGCAGCCTTTGGGGTTGGGGGGGTGATGGGGGATGCTTTTCTCTTGCTTAAGCGATTGCCATTTATGTTTTAATTTGCTGTTATACTCTTCAAAACCAAACAGAGAAACCCTCAGTTGTCTTTTTATGCTCCATTTCCCTTTCTCCCCCATCATTCCCCCGCCTTTCTCCGCATCCTCTGCAGAGGAATCTGCTACATCATGAGTCTCAGCTGCTTGTCTCCCATATAGGATATCTTGGGGCTACCCTGTACCTTCCAGGCTGGATGGCTGTTTCTCTGGACCACCTTTTTCCCTTTCTTTGTATTGTGGTGGTGAGCTGACTGAGGCTGAAAGGCAGATTGCAAAAGTAAAAGGTATTTGTCACTTTAACTGGGAAGGACTGGGGAACAGGCAAGGATTGTGGTATCCTGTTACACAGCATGGCGACGATTCATCCATTCTTCCTAGCCAGGTGTTTAGAGATCTTTGAGTGAAAGAAAGGGAATATCCTTGTTGTTAGTATGTCTTTCCGTAATTTACAAATCAAAGAGTATCAGCAATGCTTCCTTTTGGAAACCGCATACATCTTTCTATTCATCTGACATTCAGGAGTCTCAGAGAACTGGTGGACCCCCAAGATTTCTCTCTTCTTTAGACTGATGTAACCCAAAATGAAATCCTTGGCTTCCATGCAGTATTTATGATCTATTCTGGTATAAAAAGGAAAAGAATCTGTTTTCTAGAGATGACCTTTGCCCACTGCTGAAAATTTGGGCCCAGAAACTTCAGCTTTTATCATCTGGGTAATTCCCTTGGAAATGGGACCCAGTTTGGATGCAGCTGTAATATTAATGGCCTGGAGCTGCACAGCTGTTCCTGTATTATCACCTGGTGTACGTGTGCCCCACAGGACAGTGTTAAAGAGGATGAAGAATTTCTCGTCTCCTGTAAATGCACCTCTAAGTAGGACCACGCACTTTAAAATGAAGCAGGTTTGTAAGCGTTTCCAGTATCTGGGCCATAAGAGTACCCAGCAGTGTCTTGCAAGCAGGACTGGAGAATAAATCATCTGGTTGGCTCTTCAGGAGGAATGTGAGTCGACAGAATGAAAATAAATGCCCAGTGTGAAGCCTGGCTAGGACAGCTGACTGAGTCTCCTGTATTTAAAAAAGATGCTGTAGGGTCCCTACTGCGCTGGGCTTTGGCTTTGCACTTCAAATGAGAGGGAAGGTGAGTTCTAAGAATAGGGAAGGAAATCAAACAGTGTATTTGGTGTCAGAGGTGGCTTTTGAAGGTATAAATGAGTTGGAGGGGGTGTGTGTCCATCAGGAAGACCCAGGCGATGTAGCAAGAAGTTGGAATCGTGTAAGATCTTGTGGGAAAGAATAATAACGTGACCAGAGGGAAGGAAGCTTCAGAAGAGTTGGCTTGGTAGGAAATGTTCCTTGGGATCCTGTTTTTACCCTCTGAGCTTGAGTCCCTATGACAGGAATGAGCTCTGTCTTTACACAGCTTTAGGTTTAGGAGCATGGTCGCTAGCACGGATGGAAACAAATGTGTGTAAACATCAAAGCATTTTGTTCCTTTGAGGACAGAGCACTGTCTCTGATTCCAGGGAATCTGGAAGGTAAACTGGGGGAGACAAGATGTAAGAGAACTGCTCCCTTTCCATGGCATCTAATGTACGATAAAATGTTTGACATGCTCTGGGTTCAAAGTGGAGGTTACAGATCTTACTGTTACAAAGTAAATCTGCAAGAAGCGTTTAATGTTCTGAGCTGCTTCAACTCTGGTTTGAGTTTCTCTTAGTGGAAAATGTAATCAGATGGTTCCCACTTGGTGCTTCTCAGTTCAAGAAAAGAACTATCATTAAAACAATGAAAATACAATTCAAGACCTAATTTTTTTCTTGAATTGTTTACTCTGGTTAAGAACCAAGGAGACTCCCAGAGAACTGAAAGTCCACCCTCAGTTATGATGCTCTGTTAGAATTGGAGTGTGTGTTGATGACTTGTAAGAGCAGCAAGATTGTGGGTAAAATTGTGTCCCTTCCAGTGACAGCACCAGTTTAGCTAGGGCCAAGATTTTATGATAGTTACTCTTTTAGGGTTTCTGAGTAAGTGTCTGGAGCAAGACCTCATGTATTCCAGGGATAAATTCTCAAGTTGAACATGTGAATCTCAATCTTTTTGCTCTCCATTGTCAGCCTGTGGTTCATCATGTGCTATATCTGAAAAGCTGGAGAAAGGGTAATTTTTTTGTCTTTGTTGCTTCAGTGTTTCAGAGATAAAGATGGAGAAAGTATTATCCAGCCTGATGAAAGACGATCGCTTCAAGTTGCACAGACCAAGAAGAAAGGTGAGTTATTCTGCTGATTTGGAATTGCTCCAGTTTTCATTTACCAGTTAAACATCATGAGTATTCTTCCCTTAGCTTGTCTTTACCATACGAGGGTTGGCATATCCATGATGTTGGGCAATGCAAATAATTATACACCTGCCTTATATCACAACTGTCCAATCATTAAACTGTTGTCCCCAAAAAGCATTGTTTTTAACCCTTCAGCAAGTATTTTTGTAACAGACAATAAAAGTTTCTGGCTGCAAAAGCTTAGGGTATTTTCCCCATTGTGTTTCTGTTCTTGGATTTTTGGCACTAAAGTACTGCTGGAGATCACAAATGACACAAAACTTCTCTTAAGAAATGAGATTTGGTGGTGTGTCACATATGGGTTTTTATTATCTATATTTACTTGGAGCCTAAACTTAAGTGCACTGGGTTGACAGGCATCTTTTTATTGACTTCAGCAAGGTTTGGGTCTGCCTTCAAGTTGCTAATTCACAGAATTCAGTCATTTGCAATTGACATCTCAGGCGTTCCTGCATTCTGGCAAATTAAATCCTCCAAGAACCCGCATTTTGAATGGAAGTCAAGAATGTGTCAAGCATGATGCAGCATGCTCTTTTTTCTCTTGTTGCTGTTTTGCCTGCTCGTTCTTTCTGTTACACCATGTATGAGCCTTCTTGTTTCCTGCAGATGACTGTTACGAGCTGTGGTGTTCTGGGTAAACATGCTTTTGAAAGATGTTCAGTTTTCCTACACCCTGTATTTCACAGAAAGCCAGATCTATAGGTCCTCTGAGATACAGCTCTGTTTAAAGCTCTTTCCCATCACTGCATGTTTTTTCCCTAAAAGCAGCCTGTAATGCCTGTATTTCGAATGTCTGGATCAGGCCTATGATATGACCTCTTAACTCATTGAACAAATGTGTCAAAGTTTAGTTCTGCTTTGTTAATTCAAAAATTATTTGAAGTAGTTCTGTGTAGAAATACTTCCCTTTGCTCCCAAATGTGCTTATAGGCAGGTAACTTTGGGCTTCTTTTGGACAGTTTTTCCACAGATACATTTATGCAGAAATTGCACTTTAAATCTGTTGCTGACGTGGGACAGAATATTATTTGTTCTGGGCTTGAGAACAAATGCTATTTCTTAGAAACTGAGCAAAAAAAGCGAGCATGTTTTTTTCTAGGAAATTACAATCTGGTTTTTGAAAAGTGGCAAGAGAAAAAGCCTGCTGAATGTCAGAGCCCAGTACATGCAGAGGTTCAAAATTGTTGAATCATTGCAGAAATACTCACCGAAACATCTCAGTGCCTTTATGTTCCTTGTTCCAAAGGAACAGCAATAAAAAGCTAACAAGTCTTTTTACTCTCAGGACTCATCAAATAGGTATTTCTCCCATGCTTTTAAATTGTAAAATACTCTTGACATCTAAGCACAGAATATTCTAAATACTCATCTTTTGTCTTTCTCCCTTTAATTCACAAAAATATCAAACCAAACCGTGTTTGAAAGCAGGAGTTGCTCTGGTTTATGCTCAGCAGTGCTGCCTGGGCATGTGCTGCCATGCCAGGTACATGAGTGCACATACAGAAGGAGCTGGTTCCTTTCACTGGCAGTCAAAGGTGGGGTTGAATTCCTCTCTTCCCTCTGCCATCAAAGGGAATGGGATTTTGCTGTTGACTGCACTGGAGCTGAGATATATCCACCCTGGGTTTAGGGTGGTCTGACTCTGCTTCAGGTATTTACAAAACCAGAATAACCTATTTTTGTGTGGCTCAGACTCTGAAAGGTTCGGTACTGAGAAACAGAGTTTCTCTTTATGGAAAAGAAAAAAAAGTGTATCATTTAATGGGGATGAAATTACAGTAGTTCTGTCAAGATCAAATGGGCTTCTTCAGGAATTACTTGAAAAAATGTATTAAATGCAGTCAAAGCTTCATTCTGTTTGTTAGCTTTGTATTTTATCACTGTCAGAGGCTCCGTGAGTGGTCAGTAGTGCTTTCTCAGAAGCTGCAGGGGCACGTTTCCAAGTTTTCAGGAGGGTTAATCTCTCTTAAATTCTGTACATTTGCTGTAAAGACAGTGCAGTGAGCTGGGAATGCAGTGGGACTTTGCACAGGACAGAGAGTGATTGAGGACTTGCTATGAGGAGCTGAACCTGATCTGTTTGTGATGTTGCCATTCGAGAGAGCGTTAGCTTTGCTTATCAGCTCTCCATGCATTGAGTCATGTATATATTATAGTCATGCACACAGGAACCTCATTATAATGCTCCTCGGTTCTCATTGCCTCAACTAAAGTCCATTAAAAGTACCACATTGGAACGTGTATATTTTGGACTTCTGTGTGCAGCCAGGGAGCAAGCTGAAGTGCCTGTAAAATGTATATTTTATATTTAGGTGTATAAAATATATATGTGGCTATGTCTGGGTGTGTGAATGTTCACCTGCCTACAAAGAGAATAAATTTGATCTTTCAACTTTTATGGAGGGGGCAGGGGGACTTGGTGAGTTCTAGGGAAGGTGTGCAGAGGTTAGTAAAAAGTTGTTATTAAAACAAAATCCTTCATTTTGTTTTGAAGGATAATGGAAGCAGGAGATGTTACAGCCTGGCATTTTGGTGCTTTTTTCCCCATCCCTTTTTTTTTTTTTTTTTTTACTGTTTTAAAAAAAGAACTTTTCTGCCTTAGTCTAGCTGTATTATATTTCAGTTCTTTCTCCCATTAACATACTCTCTTAATGAAATCAGAAGCTTTCAGTACTTGTCCCAACTTCTCAAACCTAAAAGCTGCAGTCTTTATAATAAGAAGTTTCCTTCTTCTGAAAGAAGTTAAGTGTCTTTTCCTGGTGCAGTTGGCATTTGGGGGAGTCCCTCTGATGTCTTGAACCAGTTAAATAACTTTGCATCCAGGTCCATTTCTTCTTTCAGCTTACAGATACTGTTATTGACCGCAGTTTTATTGTACCGGTGGTTAGGGATCTGCCACAACAGGCTTTTAAGCAAACACAAGGTAGAAAAAGTTCTCCTATGCCACTATTTCTCCATAATGGCAATAACGCTTCTTACTTAACAGATGCAACAAATTCATCTAGATGGCGAGTAGATCACACAGACCTCTGGGGTAGGCTTTTATCTTTTGGGTCTTGGAGAAATGTGTAAGGTCTCAAATTAGTTGTCCTGTTCATCCAGACCAGGATACGAGTAGGATTAAAGCTTGCCTGTGTGAGCAAAGCATACAGGATGGCTTCCAGTGCACTTCCAGTGGCACTGTTTTATTTGATCTGCCCAGACATGGTGGCAGGTTGTATTTTCCCAGTTTGGCTCCACGTCAGTTTTAGATTTAGACTTATGGTTTTTTATTATTATTGGCTCGTTTTTTATTTTCTTAGATGAACCTCCCTGGAAGGCAGGAATCAAACACGGGGGGTTCGTGCCCATTAGGGGGCAATTTTAAAATGAGATCTGTCTCAAGGGGCTGAAGGGGGATAAAAGACAAGGGGGAGATGGGAGGAGGGAGGGGAGAAGCTGTTTTCCGAGTACATTATGTTTCCTGCCGTTTGCTTTTTTTTCATTTATTTCTCTTGGACTGACCTCACACTTTGGAAATTATGCACCTAGTTTTTTATCCCTCATTTTTGTCTGACTTCTTTTTTTTCTCCCCCCAGCACCAGGAAGAAGAGATGCCTCATTTTGAAACCTAAAGGGGGGAATAAGAAAAGTCCTTTGTAATATATTGCCATATTATCACTAAATCCCCTGACAGTTGTGACACAGAAGCAAGTCACCTGTCACTTAAGCTTGAGGTCTCTTTAATTTTCTCCTGGAATTCGCACCAGGCTGTCTTTAATTTGAGGCCTTTATTGGAATTCTGAAACCTTTCTACCTCCCCGGTGCTCAGATCTATTCTGAGTGCTGTTACAGAATGTATACAATAACCAACAGAGGGATTCAGAGGGGGCTGAAGCACTGTTTATTTAACACTCTGGAGGGATTTTCGTGCTTATTCGGTCCTGGCTACCCGGCTTTCAATATCGCTTTGACAACCGTTATGCCCTTCTCATTAATTTTAAACAGTTAAAACACAGGAAAAAGAGAAAAAGTTTTCATTATTAAAGTGCTTTACTTTTTAATAACAGAGGATTCTGTCCACCGGGGGAAAGGGCAAACCTCACTAATTTCACATTCATATTAAAAAACGCTGGGAAGGTGACACTTTGTGCTGCCAGGAGGCTTAACAAAAGAAAAGTGATGGGGGCTAGGAGGAGCAGGCAGGGCGAGAAAGTTTTATGTTTCACATCAATGGAAACTTCTTAGTCACAAGAGCGAGTGTCCACCTTGGGAGGCAGCACCACTTCTAGTTTATTAAACCTTTACAGAGGCCCCTCGGCTGGAGACTGTCTCAACTGATTAATAAGCACACATGAAGTCAAACTAAAAGGTGTCTGTGAAACAAGCTGTGTGGTGAGTCTTTCTCAAGTGGATTGGGAGACAGATAGCAGAGGCCAGGAACTTGGGAAACTCTTAATGTAGCCTTAATGTACCCACCATTGTCTTTGGAGATGCTGAGGGACAGTTAGTCCAGGTAGTGAGTGAGCAGCAACTCTAGTGCCTATGTGTGTTTGCTTCTTTGAACCCAGTGGTGGAAGCTGTGAGATCTTGAGTTCAAAGGAGGGCACTGTGCAGGAGGTTTTAGGCTACATTTGAGGTCTGTCTCTGGGCAGGTTTGCTGTTTGGCTATAGAGTGGTAGATCTGGGTCACCAAACATTTTGTGTAGGGTGCCAGCATCATTACCTGGCTTCCAGGATTGCTGAGGTTCGCAGTGTCAGTGTGATACAGTTCTCCTGGGCTAGCAGCAGTGCAGAGGTGAGCTCACAGCTGTGAGGGAAGGAGGGGTTTGCAGCATTAGCATGCAAATCTGCCAGGAAGGAACAACAGGATTGTTGCCTTGGCACAGGCCTAGTACAGAAGTGTGGGAGGTGGATGTTTTCACTCAGCCCTGGTCAGGAGAGGGGATTGACCAGTATCAAGTTGCTGCCTTGGACCCTGCACTGTTAGTCCTGGATGCTGGTTTGTGTCTGAGTAGCTTTTGAGAACTGTGGCCATTTCTTGGGGAAGGTTCACATCCATGGATGCTTGGCTTTGCACTTTGCTGTCAGCCTCCCATCAAAAATTCCCCTGTTCCTTGTCCACGTTTCCTTTCTCTGCCTGGGTAATTGAGAGAAAGAGATACAGCCTCTTCTCTCCTCCCAGTAACAGCTTGTTCCCAGGAACGTTTGTTTTCCATTTCCTGAACTGCATCCTGAAGTCTGAGCCTGGCAAAGCTTGAGCACGTGCAAAATTGCCCTTTTGGTTTGAGGAAGCTTATTCTGTCCTGCCACTGGTGCAAGGGGCGTCTCTTACTCTAGAAGAACCACCTGATGGCAGTTACAGTGAAGTATGACTTGTTGACAGTGAGAAAACTTCATGTGGGCATTGATAGTGAGCAGTTCATACTATGGCTTTGTTCACAGGTACGGAATTTGGTCCATTCTCTGGAGCCTGAGGGTGAACATAGATCTTCTGCACAAGGAGCAACTTGCAACATCAGTCTGAAACTGTTAATTTAGAGTCTGGGGGGAGTTATTCCACCTAACTGCAAGGGAAACTAGCAGTGGTATCTGGCCTGTTGAATCGGGGAGGGGGTGGAAGTGGGGGAAGAAGATACACGATAGATGTTAGAAAACACAAAATTAAAACTGATTTGCTCTTCTCTCCGCACAGGCTGCTTTGACTTTAACATCTTTATCTTTTTTTTTTCCTCTAGTAATATTGAGAGGATTACCTTTGTTGGCCCCTCGGTGGTTACTGTGTGATTTTACTGTTATTAAATCTATTGTAAACTGCTTCATTATTCCCGACTCAAATTCTCTCTTTCCTCTAATCCTCCCACCGCCCTTGCAGCAATCCTGTGGCACGGACCCTCAGGAAGTCCGGGAGCGGGCCACGGTCTTGCAGACTAAATTTGAAGACCACGTTCACTCCAGCGAGGGGACTGTCCGGTGGGCAAAGAAAGGTCAGTGTGTTTCTGTTCAGCTTAATCCAGAAGGGCTTACAAAAGCCCCCAAGGTTTTCTTCTGGGGGGAGAGCTTCGGGGGAAAGGCCTGAAAGAAACATTTTGGGGCCATTGGGCTCTGGGGGGGCTTGAGATGAGCCCAGAAGGCTTTGTGATGATATTAAATGTCAATTTCTTGCATTCCCATTTTATGTGCAAATGAGGTTTAAACTTGGCTTTCGATAGGATTCACATCCACGGGCTCTGACCCGACTGCATGAGCGAATAGATTGTGTTATGCTGGGGAGGTCATGGGTGACTTGCTTAAGCACATCCTGGTCCAACACTCCTTAGATGCTTTCGGTTTACACCAGGGATGAATTTGAAGCCTGTAAGACAGGATGCCTTGGGAGCAGCTCTTAACAGGCAAGGATCTCAAACTAAAGGTTGTTATGCGGAATGGGAGAAAAATGAGAGAATGGGGAACAACTCAGAAAGAAAGGAGAAAAACGGGGATGGATTTAATAACTGCAGCCAGGTGCAAATCTGGGGTTCTGGGATTTGATTTCTCATCTTTGCCAAGCACTTGTCACTGAGCAGTACAAGGAACTTCTCTTCTGCTTCTCAATTTGGACAATCCAGAGGAAGGCAGATTTGGAGGAAAGATGACAAACTTGCTGGGAATGTTGTAGGAAAACAATCACTAAGCACTCTCCTGACAGGAGCCAAAAAAGTGGTGCAGCTTAAGCACCCCTCTTCTGTGTACTGTTCTGTTGCCCAGTAAGGCTGACCTGGGTGTAGTTAATGTTCCAGGTACATGAAGATCACATTGATCTGTGTCAAATCCTGCTGTCTGTGCTTGTATACAACTCCTGTTAGGTTTGGATGAGAGGGGGCCTATTGTGATGAATTTTAATGGTCTACATCATTTTTGCTTACCTGCTGTATGTGCGTGCGCACAAGTGTCCCATACGTGCTAAACTGCATAAATTGCATACTGAGGGGTCCAAAACCACATGGGGAAGTTGGCCTTTGAGATGTGCACTGTCATCATAGAAACTGGTTAAGGGAAGGCTGTTCTCAAGATAGAAGTGAAGGTAAACATTAAAATTGTTTGGCATTCTGAGAAGTGATGGTTCAAGAGGTCAAACGTGCTGTTTTTTTTCTGCATGTTGTACTAACTTGTTAGGTGATGACACAGCAGAAAGACTAATGCTCATTCTACCTGCTTACCCCAAACTGTTCTGCATGCTTTTAATGGTGCATGGTTGTACTGATATACTTGAAATCCTACTGTTTCACTTTGCTCTACCCCCTGCCACTACATGTCACTGTAGTGATTCTTGCACACACACACACACACACACACACACTCACACTCCAATAGTTGCAGAGCTGTTTTTTTTTTCCTCAGAGCTTTGTAGTACCTTTCTCCTACAGTGAAAGTGTTAAAAGCGGCAACACAAGTGGCTTGCACCCATTTTCAGGTTGTGTTGTGCTACTTGAATGGTGTAATTACTTTTACAGCTGCACTTTTAAGTCCTCAGTCTCAAAGCATGTGACTAATATGATCATAATCCTTGATTCTGCATGGATGAGCTTCTTGTTGCTCCCCTGGGATTCCTTATACCCCATGCAAACTTCTAACTTAAACTGGCTGGTGTAGAACAGCCAAATGGCTCTGCTTACCCTTGGAAAACCTCTGTGGTTTCTCTGTACAGTGTATGTCACTGTGCACACACATCCACACACACACTTGTTGCTCATCTCAGCACTAAGACTTCTTTAGCCATGGACAAGAAGTGCAGAAAATAGATCAGGAAATGCTGAAATGTTGTGCATCCCATTTATCTCGTACAGGAGCACTCCACCTCTTTTTCCTACTCTTCTATCTACATATGCAAATTTTCCACTGCTGAGTGGCTTCCATAAGCCCCCTCTTCCTCCCCTCAGCGCCAGGCATCATGAATAATTAACATGGCAGCTGGCTTTTGCTTTCATGGCAGACAATCAATTGGAAGCTGTGCCAGAGATGCATTTGTTTCTCTCTCTTTTTCTCTTTTTCCCTGTTTTCTGACCTAGTCAATGTTAATAAGCAGTGTTTTCACTGCAGCCTGCTTTCAAAAGGCGAGTGGCTCCCTGCCCGCTCACCTCTTCTGCCTCTTGGCCCCCTATTTTCCAAACTCAAATCAAATGGTTCACTGAAGGTGCTGCCCTTCAAACTTGATTGACGATCAGCAGTGAGATGGGTGGGAGGAGGGGTATGGCTGGGCCTTGCTACCTGAAGGACAAATCTCATGAAGCACGGAGCCCCTTTTGGGAAAGAGAGGACTATTTGAGGAGTTGCATGGTGATAGGTACTCCATTTTGGAGTCAAGGGACAGGTAGAGCTCGGGGGACTCTGATCCTTCATGCCACTGGGGTTACAGTAAGTGATAGGACAAGGGGGAATGGTTTTAAATGGGAAGATGGTAGATTTAGATTAGATATTAGAAGTTCTTCACTATGAGGGTAGTGAGACACTAGAACAGGCTGTCCAGAGGAGCTGTGGATGCCCCATCATTCAGTGTTCAAGGCCAGGTTGGATGAGGCTTGGAGCAACTTGTTCTAGTGGAAGGTGGCAGGGAGGTTGGAAGTGGATGAGCTTTAAGGTCCTTTCTAACCCAAACCATTCTGTGATTCTGTGAAACCCTGTTTGTCTCCTCCATGTTTCCCCATTTTATAGCCACTAGTTGAGTATTCTGCCTCATTTTTTCTGGTCTCAGCCCCTGTGTCTTTACAGGGGCAGCAGAGTTACAGGAGCCCACGACTATGGCACGATGCTTGAATCCACAGCAGTTTTGGTGCGTGCTTCCTCCCTGTTCCCACATGCCTTGTGCACTGGCAAAATGCCTCCACCAATTTATCCAGCTGTGTGGCTGAGGCTGCACTCCGGGGCCAGCACTGGGAACTGGCTGCCAGCTGAGAGCATGGTGACAGGTTATGTCACCTGTCTCACTTTCATATCTCGTTCCCCTCGTGTCCCCTGTTTAAAACAGCGTCACTCCAACCTATCTAACCTCCATCAGATGTAGTGTGCTTTTTTTTTAATTTCCACACTTAGATTTTTTTATAGGAAAGTGGGGATGCATGGGTGGAAAGGACCAACCTAAATCCACTCACATGCGTGCAAGTCTGAATCCCACTACAGGCCAGTATACATTGCCTTAGACTTATATTGGCGTGGCAAAACCCGTAACAGCTCAGACAGTTTGCTCCTGTGGCATTGAGATGAGGTACCCTTTATGTGAGTTATGGTGTGACCAGCACTGTTTCCAGTCTTTCTGAGTTCTTTTCATAAAGCTCTATCTCATTGATTATAAAATTATGACAGAATTTCAACTTTAAAAAAAAAAAAGCTAAAATTGCACATAAAAGCTGTAAAACATGACTCTGGCAAGACTGAGAGGGCTGAAGACCTAATAGTAAAGATTTAAAAAAGAATCACTCCCACAGAGATCTTCATTTGAATCTCATGGTGCTGTGGTGAACATTAGTAGCTCTGAGCTCCTCAGAGGTCAGACAGTTGCAGGAGCTGAGGTTTTGACCTGCAGGTATGGCAGGGTTGTTAGCTCAGCTTTGGGTTAGTGTCCTGCAGCTTGCTCTGGCTTTATGTGCTCTGACTCAGGACTGGATCTGACTGTTGTCTGTCAGGACTTTGGGAAGAGTGGGGCCTTTGACACTTTGATTCTCTAACTCTGATCAGGGGAGTTAGTACCAGCAGCCTTTCCTGCCCAAAGAACTGTGGAGGTGAGCTCAGCCTTCATAATAACAGGATCTTTAGTATCAACCATTTCGAATGCTGTGAGAAAGACAGCTATATTGGCTCCAACGGGACCAGAGTCAGAGCGGGAGCAAGTTCGTATTGTTTCTTTTGAAGAGTTACACCTTCTCATAGCAGGTGAATTGGACCAATAACTTTATGGGGGAAAAAAAGCAGCAGAATAGTTTTTGAGAGCATTTGAGCTGGTTTATAAGCCCTCAGAAGCATGACCTTTAGATTAGGCATGGAGATGAAGTATCTGGAATTTAGCATTCTCTTTTTGGGAAAACATGGGTCTCTTGCTGCTCAGATGCCTCTAAGAGTAACATTGTGAAATTGGGAAGAAGGTGCAAAAAACTCAATCTTTTCTTCTCATCGATTGGGAAAAGGAGTTCGCTTTACTCAGTAAACAGAGCTTTGATGGATTCCCTGGGTCCTTCCAGGAGCTGATCTGCTAAAATGACATTTTTATTACTGTTCATAAACTCCAATCTCTGGCTGCTGCCAAGAGATTAGACATAAGCTGTGGGCAAACTTGCTGGTCCAGTGGCTCAACAGGCAAGGGCAGGAGAGGTTAGAGTTTAGAGCTCACTGCTGTCAGGGGTTGAGAGAGAGAGAATGATGTAGGTGGTGGATGGAGTGAGGGCTGGGGGGGGGACGGGACACACAGGAGGTTTAGCAAGCAGAAAGGCAGGAGAGAATTGAAGGAAGGTATTTTCTGAGCTGTAGAGTTTCCCTACTAAAAGTCCCTCTGTTCCCCATAGCAGAGAGGACAGCCTGGGTGTAGTTAATGTTCTGGGTATGTGAAGAGCAGTGGTAGTGTTCATATTAGTGGATGATCGACTTTAGAGCAATGA